GCAATGAAGTTGTCAAGGTAATTAAAAATTTTTTTTATTTTTTTTTTTATTTTTTCATTTTGATTTTGCGCGTGTTGAATCCTGTATCGATTCGATTTAAATTTCAATTAATGATTAATATTATCGGATAGAAATTTTCCAATTTTGAGAGTTTAAGACAGAAAAAAAAAAACCGTTTTACAGGATTTGGTTGACGTTATATTAAAAAAAATGGATATAGATCGTGACGGTAAACTTTCGTATACGGATTATAAAACGAGCGTTTTAAGAAATCCAATGCTTTTGGAATCTTTGGGCCCCGTTTTACCACCCAGACCCTTTGTTTTGGCATTCCTTACGACATTTACGACAAACTACGACAAAGCATGATGGAAAAATTACTTTACTATTATTATTTTTTTTTTTCTATCGTCTTTTACCGAAAAAAAAAAAAAAAAAACTTTTACTATATATATATATTTATATATTTATTTTCAATATAATTTATATATGGGGGCTTAAAACGTTGAAACTTAATTTTAAAATTTAAAAATATTATTTAGTAGTCTGAGGTTCAGGGTTTGTAAAAATTAGGGTAACGATCAAGGTCGACAACTCCATGTATTATAAACGACGAGAAAACTTTCCGCAAATAAATGAAAAATAATGAATAATAATAATATTTTGGGGAAATGAACAATTAGTATTATTGTATCGAGAATCGAATTTACGCTTTTGTTTCCCCTAACGACCTTCGATATATCGTTTATTGTAAATAATTGACCTGGTGCAAGAAAAATGACATTTTAGTATGACAATTAACGAGGGTCAAATCGTTTGAATGACGTAACAATCAAATATTTCTGACGAATTCGTTTGTTGAAACCATCTCTCTCTCTCTCTCTCTCTCTCTCTCTCTCTCTCACTCATTCGCTCAGTTTTTTCTTATCGGATGAAATGCAAAAAAAAAAAAAAAAAGGGAAAAATTATTAAGGAAGTTAATTTAACCGTAGGGATTTTATTATGAAATCAATCGTATCATTGTTTACGATCAGACGTCAGGGTCCCGCGCGTGTATGGAAAACATCGGGGAAATAAAAATTCAAATTTTATTTCATTTTACGTCGTTGGCACCCCTGACCCGCCCTCGTAACCCATAATAATTATTTATACATATTATTTTTATCCACACATTTTTTTT